TTTCTGAAGCAAAACTCGACGTCATGAAATAATTTTCGAAATTGAATTCTTGGAATTCTTCATAGCCTTAGGCAGTTTTTACAGTTTTATTCAGTGTTCAGTGCAAGAAAATTAGATCACTTTTTGTTTACGATGATTATACTGCAGCTTTCCAGTCAGCTAAACTGCTACGACGATACAGATGAGAAAGTTCGATCATTTTCGTGGCTAAATATTAAATATTTCACTTCAAAATTATGCAGTATTTTTCATCAACAGTATTTTGATGCGTCCAAGTTTTTTGGCAGTGAATTCGTTCACATTCTACCAGGACTTTGAGGAACTTCGTTCAACTGAAGAATGCGTCATTCGTTATACAATACTGCTGTAAGAAAAAATACTTTTTGAAACTGACATAAGGATCACAGGAGCATTTTCATACTGTCATACCATTCTCCACATGAGCTACACACTGCTCACATCGCGTCAAATGAATATTTCACTGACATGAAACCTTGAATTTTTCGTCAACGACAAAGATCAACGAAGATCACATGTCACTGAAAATGTGCTACGGATCGATCAGGTTTTTTTCATTAATTTTTAATTACAGGATACAAATATTGGAAAATTGTAGAGTTAACATGTATATATGCTTCGGATATAAGCAAATTTTCAATTGAAAAATACTGTACAGCAAAAAAACTTGAATGCGAATTGCAATAGCCCAAAATTCAAAACGAAGTATTTGATGTTGATATTGTGGACCTCTTTATAGAAAGTAGCTTCATAGTTTTCCACTGAACCGTTTTTTCGACTGAAAATTCTGGGTGATTGAAAGTTAACCAATTTTGGTTCGACACTTCAAATTTCTCGCCAGCGGGCTGATTTCTCGACCGCCTTTTTACGCGATGCAGCAGCGACATCTAGAGTACAGTATCGCGTCACACTCACAATGGTAACACTTGTGGAGCCTCCGGTGAGGGGTACCAGTATAAAAATGACCCACTTTCTCTGATAACTTCTTTAGTCAAGCGAAGTCAAAGCTTCAGAGAAAGCAGCTATTCAAGAAAGAAGAAGCAAAAAATATATCAGCATTCCAGTGTTTATTATTCATGGATGAGAACTAAACGAAGAAAGGGAAGTAAAACGCTAAAGAAAATTTGTGAGGAGGGGGAATGACGGGAATGCGTGCGACCACAATCTCAAATGCTCACATCTTCGATCTCCAACTCTTCATTATTCGGAACCGGGATGAGGCTCGCGAGTCTGGCTGCCTTTCGTTCCATCTTTTGCCACTTGCTGGCATCGGGGATCCAGTGTTCCGGCTTATTTCCGGATTTTATGATGGGCTTGATGTCTTCGGAGTCGATGGAACTGGGTTTCGGATCCAGAATTATGTCCACGAGCTTGTCAAGCACCGCTGTTGGTCTTTTGAATCCTGATCCACCTGCGGGCTGCATTCACGTAGAAAAAATTGAAACATTCAAATGTCAGAACGGATTTTTCATTTCGTAAATTTGAACCCTGAAAGTAATTTACAGCTGAGATACAGGTGGGGTCTCCACAAAAAATAAATTCAGCGGACCAGAAAAATTTCGTCGTAGAGAAAGCACCTTTGAGGCACACAAGAAAAATCGTTGCAGACGAAATTGTTGAAGAGAATCCATCAGAATATGAAATAACATCGTCCATTTTCTTCTACTCGGAGTATTTTAATCTACATAATATTTCAATCAAATGAATATCAGTATGTGGCGGATGAAGAATTACCAATTTCCTCCTTCGTTTTTAAATGCAATAAAAGGTTATGAGAAATGCTGACAAAATCGTTCTTGAAAACTTGATTATGCCGTATTTCGTGCTCCTAAAAAATTATGAAGTTTCTATGATTCTACCAAAGGACATTTGATCTGAGTCGTTATAGAAAAAAAAAACCGCGCAAAATTTTAGCAGAATCTCTCATTTTAAACTTCGAAGAAATTTTATTCGCGGCATAGAATTTTAGGTAAAAAAAAAAAAAAAACACGATAAAAATGGTCTTTATTTTTAATAATTTCCATCTTTCATAATTCCGTACACGAAGCCAGCAATAAATGCTGCAATTCGCCAAAAAAAATTGTTCATTACCTCAGAACCTTCCACATCGGAGAGTTGCCGGCAATCGATATTCAACCTGGCAAGCAATTTGGCAAGACTCGTTCCGCTAATTGCTGTCCCCCATAATTTGTCCGCCGTGGA